TATCTAGCGACATATAAAAATCGAATGTGAACCTACTTATTTTTCAATTGAATGTAATTGACTACCTAATTGAGTGACACCTAAGCATGAAGTCTTTTTTAATTATTACAAAATTGAGGTTACAATTTTTTAAATGTTTCTCCTTTAATATATAAAGGATAATTAACAATTCGAATATGGTAGTGGAATAACTAAGAAGTTGTCATAATGGAAGTAAGTAAAGAAATTATTTTCTACACACGAACTACAATGCAAATTTTAGTAGTACACATATTGTTATATATTAAATATATGTACTTAAGTACTTTGGAAGATGTATGTAATGGTGGTCATCACGTCAAAAATTTTGACTAGTAATTAATAAGAGTTGTTTTATATAACCCTATAGGTTGCTCGAATGTATTTAAAGGTATATAGTGGATTAGTTACCATTGATGATCCAAGTTTGGGATGTATATTGAGTAATGTCGGAGATAGTCATGTCGTCTGTTATCAAAGAATCATGTTAACTATATAGACTGATATGGAAATCCAAACTGAACAAATAACAATGACTTTATAAGAAATCGAATCCATAACAAACGGGTTTAAGCTGAATTAAAAAAGTATTAATTAAGCTGCAAGAGAATATATCAATATAAATAACTGAACGGAATACTAATATTATATACTTATGTGAAATATAATAAAAGTAATAAAGGAGAAGCAGTAGATTCCAAAGGTTCTTTTATGCTCACAGATTATTATCAGTTTTTATTCTGAACACGAGGACAGGGAGAAAGAAGAGATGTTGACCGGTCGCATAGTTAAAACAAAAATGTGGGCCAACTAAAACTTTTTCAGGGCCCATGATGGCTTTCCCTTCTCCAATCCCCAAAACATGCAATTCTTCTTCGAACCAATTACAAAATTTCATCAAACCAGGAAAAACGAAAACATTTTAAAAAATAAGTCACTGCTTTCTCACATCAAACCAAAAGAATCTCTATTGCAACGATTAACAGCTTTATGAGGAGTTCTTTTTTAGATTTTTCTAATAATGCAAGTTTAAAAAATGTTCTCTATTACATTGTTTGATATCTTATAACTTTTTACTATGTATCAGACATTAAAATGCATCAAAATTTATTGAGCTGAGTTATTATTACTACTATTAAGTAAATATTATAAATCATGTATATGTAGAAAAGCAAAACAAGTTCCAGTCTTTACCAAATATAAATAAATTAATTTCAGTAAAACAGAAACTAACCTTTTTATATTTTTTGTTTACAACTCACATTCCATCAAAAATGAATCCGATAAACAACGGATGCGCTTTATCCCCTATATATTAATTAAATTTAAAAATATAACTTTAAATTTGTAATAATTAAAAAAATATCATCCTATGTGTCAGTTTTCTATGCATTCTAAATTCTTTTTAGAAGAATTTTAGAAATAGAAAATCTTATATAATACATAGTTTTAAAACAAGGTCCGTTGGTCTCATATAAAACATATCAAACTAACTAACATATCAAACCAAGTCTCCTATATATTCTTTACTTAAATAAAACATACGGAAGTACCTAATGTGATTAAGATATATATGACTATTAATAATTTTAAATAATAAAAATTTATAAACAATCTGTATACTTTATATCATTTTTGTTTATTTTTTTATTATTAAAAAATTACACAATTACACTAATCATATAATAAAAATTTAGATTTTTTTATAAATGTTGTATTTTGAAATTTTCAAAACGAATATAAATTACTAAAATTATTAAAAATCTCACATAAACTATGATCAAGGTCTAAGTTGTTTTTCTGTAATAAGTTACAATGATTATAAAATTATATGAATAATTAATTTTATTATAATAGATGTTTATGTTAATATATATTATATATATATTTATATCTCATATCACATGAATATAATTTTATTTTAAACATATTATAATTTAAAATTTAACTTTATTTTTTATAAAATTATTTTTTATTTAAAATATAATTTTTATAAATATATTTTTATGATATTATTAGACAAATAAATAATTCTATTATATTAGTTTTTAAATTTTATATATTCTAAATGCAAATATTCTACCAACTACTTCTTAAGAAAACATTAGGGAACTTGACAATGCTCTATCAATTAAGCCATGTGACACTTCGTTTATTTTCCATTACTCAAACACTGAAAAATGAAAAGATATATGAATCGAACCCATTAAATATTAAGTTTTTATCTACAGTTCTAATTACAATTGTTTCTGATCCTACGTATAAATAATTATATAAAATTTTCATAATTCCAAATACATATAAAAACAATCATATGTAAATTTTAAATTTATTAATACTAAAGTTTATATTTTAATTACATACATTCACGCTGCGCAAAACGCATATCTTATCCTAGCACAAATTATTAGGACATTAACCCGTTTGTAATATTCCCATTTTCAGATGCAATAATCATGGCAACTAATATATTATGTTTACCTAATTTTCTTTTGAATCCCCTATATATTATTTGAGAATCATTTAAAAAGTTGTAACCTTAAGTTTGTAAGAATTAAAAATAACCCCAATCCTATGTGACATAGCTCTTTGGCTTCTATTTCAAATCCCAAGGATTCTAGAGCATGTGATATAATGTATAGACTAAAAATTATATTCTCTAGCAATATAATATTTCGTAGACTATAGTTGGTCGCATATATCAAATATTTATTGTTTTACATGTTTTCCTTAAATAAAACCTACGGAATTACCTAATATGATTAAAATATATATGACAATTAATGATTTTAAACAATAAAGATTAGATAACAATCTGTATACTTTTTCTCATTTTGTTTATTTATTTATTATTAAAATAAATTACACAATTACATTAATCATATAATAAAAATCTATATTTTTTTTGTGTATGTTGTATTTCAAATTTTTCAAAATGAGTATAAATTACTAAAACTGTTAAAAGTCTCACATAAACTCTTAGGATTAAGGTTTTACTTTTTTTCTATATCAAAATTTAATGATTATAAGACCATATGAAGAAATAATTTTAGTTTATATATATCGTTTTAATTAAACTATAAATCGTACGAAAATACATACTTATATTTTGATATTTTCTTCAACATATATTAAAAAGTTAATATTTTAATTTTGAAACATGTCATTGTTTTTTAAAAATGATTAAAAATTATTGAAATTACTAAACATCTCACATTAAAAAAATCGTTGGTGTAAAGTTTTGTTACACAAATATGCAAATAATCATAAAATCATATGAGTAGAAACCTCATTTAATAAATATCAATATTAACAGTGTGCCATATTACTATGTTTATATCATTTAAATTTAATTATATATCATATACAATATAAAAGTTTGATTATTTTGATTTATTTACGCTAATTGCGAATAAATAAGAGTGATAGTTAAATTTATATGCATACGTCAATTTATTACATAATAGTGCTTGATTTCTTAGTTATTTAATATATATATTTATTATTTTATGATATGCAGAATATTATAAAATAAATTATAAATATAAAATACTTATTGTGCATAAAGTGCAGATCTTAACCTAAGTATGTATCTTTTTAATTATTTTAAATCTTAAGTATTTTCTAAATCTCAGGTCAAAACAAATAAACGAAATGAGAATAAACTTTAAAATCAATAGTTATATCGAGTAATAACCAAAATATAAAAAAACACAACAAGAGAAAAAATTGAAGATAAATAGGATTAACACGTGTACGTAAACTTCTCATAACCATAATTACTTTTTAAATAGTTAAATAATGATATAAAACTGAGTTAATTTTTAATTTGTTAATTTTTATTTTTTTAATTTTTTAAATCATTATGGTTATGTTAAATCATGACCATAATTAGTTTTAAATTTTTTATTTGAGTTTGAAAAACTTAAAATATTGTTTTTAAAAATAATTTAAAATTCAACTTATTTTTTATAAAATTATTTAAAAATAATAATTTGTAAAAAATATAGTTTTATAATATTATTATACAAATAAATAAATTATATTAAATTAGTTTTGAAATTTTATATATTTTAAATGCAATTATTTTATCAACTGCTTCTTAAAAAAAACATTAGGAAATTTGTTAATACTCTACCAATAAAGCCCAATGACACTCTGTTTATTTTCCATCACTGGAACACTAAAAAATGAAAAGATATATGAAATCGGGTCCATTAAATTCTAAGATTTGATCTACAGCTCTAATTACAATTGTTTATGATCCTACGTATAGATAATTATTTAAAATTTCAAAATTATAAAGTTTCAAATACATATAAAAAAAATTATATGTAAATTTTAAATTTATCAATACTAAAATTTTATATTTTAATCACGTATATTCACCCTGCGCAATGCGCATGTCTTATCCTAGTATCTAACTAAAGGGTCACACTGAATAGAAAAATAATACTCATGAATAGAAAAATAATACTCATCTCTGTTTCATAATGTTACATGTTTTAGAAAATACTTTGTTTTAGAAAAGTACATTTTTTTACATTTTAAGGTAAATTTTGTCAAATAATAATGATTAATTAGAATTTTGCATTTATTATGCGTTTTATTAATATATGTAAAAAATTAAAATATGCAACAAATTAATTGAAACAGAGAGAGTAACAATTATTTTATATTAATTTTCTTTTATTTTTCTTCTTATGTAGCAAAAAGTCCCTCGGAGCAAGAAAATGAACAGAGATATGTCTCTCATCATCTTCACTAATGACATTAATTTTGCCGCCTTCAAAAGATCCCTCACTATTTTTTTTTTATTTTCTCACAGGAAACTCTGATTGAAGATGAGAAACCAAAGAGGTAAAGAAAATTCAGTAAAAAAAAAGGAAGGAATAAACCAAAAATATAAAGAACGGCAAATGTCATGACCCTTATGGATTGGTGTTGGAAAAGCAATGTATATGACTCTTTATTTCTCTCTCTCATTGTTTTCTCCTCCTCTTGTTGCTATTATTGTTGTTGTTGGTGGTGTCTGGACTACTCTGTGAGGAATTTGTACATGACTCAACTGTTCTCTCATCACTCTTATAGCTCAAACATGTTGCTTCCAACACTCCAACTGGACTCACCGGTACCACTCTTGCCACTAATCTCGGTTGCTGCGGCGATAATGATCCCTTCACCTCCTCTCCTATGAGGTTTCTCATCAGATTCAAACATTCATCCACTCTCTCCTGCTAAACAAGGACAATGATCCATTGATCAAATCTCAACACATTGATAAAATGTGTGATCTTAAAACAATATTACATATAAGATGGGTTTTACCTGTTTTACATAGGTGAGATTAGACATTGTCTTTTCATCATCAATGCACTTCATTTCTCCTGAAATAGAAACAGACACTGCAGCTGCTGCAGCTATCTCAGAAGGCCTGAAGTCCAAGAATTCAATGGCTGCATTCAATTTTTTCCCAAACAATTAAAAAAAAAACCCATCAAGCCTTCCTCTAAACAGAGCTAATTCAATTGCAAAACAAGGAAAGAATATTATTACCCTTTGTGGTGTTCAAGATGAATTGTGAGGATCTATTGATCAAATTCTCTGACACGTGACCGTTGGTCTTGTGAATGAAATGATCAATGAAGGAGAATGGAGTTAGAGCTTGCAACCTCCAATTCAATGTGTTGAGTACCAAAAGCTCCATCCTTTTAACTGTTTTGGCCTCAAAAACAAACTTGGGATCACCCACCTGCCCACTCAAGAACACTTCAAAACTCACTAAACTGCGATTTTCGATAGTTACAAGAGTGAGCTACTAAAACGTGTATTGCACCTGTAACTCAACAGTTTGAGGCACATCTGATTCTTCCATTTTGGCTGCTAATGATAAGCAAGAGACAGCTAGCAACTGAACTGCCCATGTTTTGTCTTTCTACGCAAATGAGAGATAGGTACACGGTTAGTATTGGAACCAATCCAATAAGAAAAGGTAAGAAGAAGATGAATCAAAACTTACTGGCAGCTCATAGGAAGTTAAGAACCGATCCAAGTAGTTCATGGACAGACATAAGCACAGTGTTCCAAAATTGTAATGAGCACATACCTGTTTCAGACACAACAACAACAAGTGGCATTAAAGACAAAACACATCAGTTACTCAAACAAATCAGAATCTCAATCTATTGAGAAGATCCAACTGATCTCAAAAGTGTTTGTTTATTCATTTCAATAAATCTAATCATCAGAAGCCTCTTTTATACTGATCAGACAAAAAAACATCAAATTCAGACCAAACCAGATTTGATGTTTTTTTTTTGACATAAAGATCAAAAGAAGAAAAAATCTTCAAACCTTTAGAATCCAATCCAGAGCTTGGTTCCTAACAAGCAACTCCCACTCCCCAGAACGCAGCCTCTTGATATAATCAGCTCCTGGCAAGAACTCAACCTCTCTCTCCAACATCTCTCTGACTCTCTCTTCTCTCATCGACGGAGAACCCATCATCGGGTTTGATCCGTTACCGTTAAAGTTATCGTCTTTACTAGAAAGAAGTTGATCATGGTTCATGAATCCAACGCCACAGATGATGACGTCATCGTGGACGTCAGTGATCCATGAATCGCTGGTTTCACCACAAGTGAGATTCTCAGCCATGGGGTGTGGTTTTGATCTTTTGTTATGAGTTTTTCAATAGTTGTCTATCTTTAACGTTTATTTTGTGGAGTTTCAACAAAGTTTCAGAGCGTTCGGACAAAAGTCATCAAGATAGGAGGAGTTTGTGTCTGCGATTTTCATGGTAGGAGAGAGAGAGAGAGGTTTATGGAAGAGGAGGAGGAAGTGGGTGAGTGTGTTTTAGGGTAGAGAGGGGGTGAGAGAGAGAGAGAGAGAGGCCACTCTCCGTAGAGTCGCATTTGTGATACACATAATATACACTTATAGAGACACTTGGAAATAAATAAAATTACATTCATTTAATGTATAAACTAGGTGTTTTGCCCGCACTTGCGGGCCTAAACATTTTATAATTATTTTATTGCATTTTTTACTAATCGAAAAATTATAATGATAAAGTATTATTTATGTTTTATTTTTTTGAAATCAATAATATGTATATTTTCATTTAAACATTCTTACATGTATTTCTTTGTACATTATGTTCCCTACTAAAAATAAATCATCTTAAAATAAAAATAACTTTTTTCTTTTTAATTATATAAAATTAAGATGTTTACTTGATCAATATTTAATTATGTATTTCTATTTTTTCGGAAAATATATCTTCAAATAACAACACAATATATATAGGAATTATCTTATTTAAATACATATTATTTAGATTTTGGATAGTTTTTATGATTATTATTAATTTTAATTATTTAAATAATCAAAATAATTTAAATCCGTTTTTATTAATACATCTATTACTAATTGAAAGATTATAGTGATAAAGTATTGATTGTGTTTTATTTTTTGAAACCAATAATATTTATACTTTCATTTAACAATTCTTACATATATTTCTTTGTAATTTATATTCACTATTAAAAATAATTTTAAGATCAAATAATATTAAGGATTGATTGTGTTTAATTTTTTGAAACCAATAATATTTACATTTAAAAATTCTTACATATATTTCTTTGTAATTTATGTTCACTATTAAAAATAGTTTTAAGATCAAATAATATTTTTTCAATAATATAAAATTAAGAAGTTGACTTGATTAATATTTAGTTATGTATTTTCTATTGTTTTAATTGTTAACTTTTTTATCAAATATATTTTCAGATAACATCACAATATATATCAGAATTATCTTATTTAAAAAGATATTATTTAGATTTTGGATAATTCTTATGATTATTATTAATTTTAGATTAAAATAATTTAAATTCGTTTTTATTTTATATGTAATATATATTATTTTCATTAAGAGCATAAACGATATTAACCACTCTAACTTTTAACGTGTGAGCTCCGTTGCGAAAAATCACTTCGCAAATAATAGTATAGACTAGGTACAGTAGAACCTCTATAAATTAATACTCGATAAATTAATAATCTCTATAAATTAATAAATTTTGTCGGTCCCAACTTGGGCCGGTTCAAAATTTGACACAAATCGATAAAATAATAAGATAATAATTTTTCAGAAAATTATATGTAAATTTATGGTCCCATTAAAATTATAAATTAATAATTATATGTATACATATTTTATATAAGTAAAAACATATCATTATATTGTTTGTTTTATATTCACAATGAAATTCTTTTTATATTTCTTAACACTTATTATATTTTTGATGAGATTTGATAATATTATGTCTAAAACCATATTTACATTATGTGAAATATATATTATATACAAAAATAATATAATAAAGTTGATATAAATGTCAATTTTTTTTAAAAAAATAATTAATCTTTATACAGTAAAATCAAATATTTTTCTTATTTTAGAAAAAAACATGTTAAAACAAAAAACCTAAATAAGGAAATTTTTGTAAATTAATATCTCTATAAATTAATAATATTTCAAAGTCCCAACATTATTAATTTATGATTAACAAACATCTGACTTACGTCATAAGCATTTGAGATTTGGACCTCACTTATAGCCAAAAATAAATCATAAGCATTTGAGTAATTTCTTTTGCCAATCGAGGAATGTATGTCTTGTTACACGAGACATGGATCTTACTTCCCTATATAACATAAAACATTATCATTTAGGTTAAACTTTAACGAAATGAAGATATCTAAATCAAAAATATATACAAAACGATAAATTTACATTTGCATCACAAAGGATTAGTTCCATAGTCTCCCTTAGTCTTTCATGAAATGTCTCCACGTATGAAGGATTTTGACTTGGATGCGACAGCAGTCTTCCTCGGTTTTATATCGCTCAAGAAAGACAACTACAAATTATTCACCATTTTTGTTTTAGGTTTTTGAAGGGATGATAAATATAATGGTTAAGAGAGGTTATATTTATAATAGGTAGGGACGATATACAATTAGGTTACGCGAATATATGGGAGAATATTTCATACGATTTTTAAATATATCTCTTTCGAGGAATAAGAAATATTTCTTGAAGATTTTGAATTAGTTAGGAAGTTTATAGTTTAACAGTTAATGGTAATCCAACTATGGTAAGTTACCAAAATTTATGGAATCTACGATATTAATTGTGGTTAATCTATAATTTGTAGGTAAAGCAATTTCTTTATTTTAGTAGGAAGATAATTATAGAAAACCGTATTTGCAATATTTTCTTAACAAAACGTATTTCGTCCATTAAATGTCAACATGAGAGTGATGATATATCTTTTTTGGTTGATATCACTATATGTCGTCTAACTATGGTATATAAATACATGTAAATTTAGTGAGACATGAAAACATATTTCATATATGAAGAAAAACATGAAATGAAGGTCTATAACACAATATAAATGAAATGAAAGTTTATAAAGTCCATGTATGATGCATATACCAAAAAATGTCAACCAAAAAAGTACAATGTTGAAAATCTATAGATTGAAATCGTGTAATATAAGATCTATAACACAATATAAATGTATGAAATATAGTATGGTTTATAAATACATGTAAATTTAGTGAGACATGAAAACATATTTCATATATGAAGATAGATCATGAAATGAAGGTTTATAACACAATATAAATGAAATGAAGGTTTATATAGTCCATGTATGATGCATATACCAAAAAATGTCAACCAAAAAAGTATAGTGTTGGAAATATATAGATTGAAATCATGTAATATAAGGTCTATAACACAATATAATTATATGAAATATAGTATGATATATAAATACGGGTAAATTTAGTGAGACATAAAAACATATTTCATATATGAATATAAATCATGAAATGAAGGCATATAACACAATATAAATGAAATGAAGGTTTATAAAGTCCATGTATTATGCATATACCAAAAAATGTTAACCAAAAAAGTATAATGTTGGAAACATATAGATTGAAATCGTGTAATATAAGGTGTATAACACAATATAAATGTATGAAATATAGTTTGAAATATAGTTATAAAATCCATATATGATTTATATACCAGAAAAGATAACCATAAAAGTATAATGCTGAAAATCTATAGATTGAAATCATGTAATATAAGGTGTATAATACAGTATAAATGTATGAAATATAGTATGTAATGTGGTTATAAAGTTCATATATGATGCATATACCAAATCGTGTAATATAATGTTGGAAATTAATAAATCTATGAAATATGGTTAGAGTAATTAATGGGAAAAGAGAATAATTAATGGTTAGGGTAATTAATGGGAAAAGAGAATAATTAATGGTTAGAGTAATTAATGGAAAAGGGGAGAATAATTCGAGTATATGCAATATGTGATATTATTTGTAACAAATCGATATATATATATATATATATATATATAGATGTAAGGCCGAAAATAAATTACCAAAATATCATTAATGAGGGTGCACACAACTTTCATCAGTCGATTTTTGAAGGATGCCTTTACTTTTAATTGTATAGATTAATGATCATAAAACGAGTTTATAGATTATTTGCATGAGTTTAATATCTTCATAGTATATAATTTATTATAAAATTAATGGTAGCTAATTTTTAAAATTATAGAAACTGTAATAATGTTTGATTAATTTTTTCTATATTTATATACGACATAAAATGAGAAAACAATTTATAGCAATAGATATAATGATTTCATATTCATATAAAAATATAGTTGTATCTATAATAATAGTTAATCCCTTATAATGTATGCTTTATAAATAATTAGACTTTGAAGTTTGGACATATTATATTTAATGATACATGTGAGAACTTAGAATAAAAAAAAATGTTTTGCATTTAAGTTAAATAATATAGTGAAAAAGGTAATGTTATGATTGATAATTCTAAGATAGGTTTTTGGTTCATTGTTTGCATGTTCTGTATTATTGTTTAGAGATAAATAAATATTTGGAAAAAAATAAGTAAAAATTTAGGAAAACATGAGCAAAAATTAATAAAAAAAGAAAAAAAAATGATAAAGACAAAAATAAGAAGAATCTGAAGAAGATATAAAATATGTGTTGTAGAAGTTAATGTGATTATTACATATATACTTCCACAAGTATTTGTTATTACTAAATATTCATCAATTTGTTTTGATCAATTTCATCAATTATTTTTACATAAAATTATGGAAGTTATACGACTGATTGTCAAACTATTTGAGATTAAAACTTAGATTTTAAAAATTTCTAATTATTATTCAAAATTTATGGTATTATATAAATCATTTATATAATAAAGAACAAGTCACTCTACCAATCACAAAGCAATGAACTACTTAAGGTAGTTAAGATAGTTATGTTTACGTAACACAAATCAATGAACTAGATAATATAAGTAGATACTAAGACAAATTGGTATTTTGGTGTATCATCATCTCCTATATTTTTTTGCCTAATTCTCTGGATCTCACTCTTTTCTCTACATTTTCCAAGACAGCATTTGTATATCAAGTTTCGTTCAAATGCAAGGTTTTCCTTAGAAGAACTCAAGTTTGTATTTCCTTTTTTCCATAAGTTCTACGGTTAAGTGAAATAAATTTCATATAACCAAAAATAACTTCACGATCAATAATTTCCTGAAAATAGAGGTAAATCTCTTGATTTTCTTAGATTCCTAATTTCATGGCACAATTTCAAACGGTTTATTGTTATATTTAACAATAATTACGCTCTTTTTTCTCTTATTTTTAATGGTTACACATTTTCTGAGTTTTGAGAGCAGCAACAAGTATAAATATAGCTTTTTGACTAATTTTAATTCAAATTCAGTTTTCTCTTCTTCTCAAACTAATATATCTTGTTCTTTTTGTATTATCCAGCTTGAAGTTGTTTTATTATTACTCAAGTTGTAATAAAAATGGCACAACTAGACTTACCATGACGCCGAGGGGTGCGACAAACACACATAGCGACGAGACCATGCATATGTAACCCAGTACTTGACCACGTTTCTTGTGATGGAGAGGAAAGTAAGTCAGGACGAAAATCAGTCCAAATCCCAAAACATCCCCAAACATGACGAGTATCACTGTCCTCTTCTACGACACCTTTTTGGAACCAAGAAGAGGTTCAGGTAAGCAGCATTTGTTATGGTAGTAAAACTACTAATAGTAACCCCTAGCAAAGATCTCCTTTTGTGAGCGCGTAGAACAACCCTAGGAGTGCACTTAGCAAGGTTGCGGCGTACAGAAGAGATTGGAAGCCATCCGTCGACTTCCTCTTGTTGATTGTTTTTTTGGTCTACAAATACAACTACACACATATGTTAAGTGTATGACTTCAAAACGTGTTGAAGTTATCTCTCTCTTAGCTTAACTAATGGTGTTTATAATCCTTTTATTTGTATTAGTTTATTAGCCTACAAAATTAAGATCCGTGCCAGACACGGAATTACATTGTATATATAGATTATTTTTTCTGTATCATTACTTATTTTCATTTTTACATATTATGAAATAATAAAATAATAATATATATCGAATAATTGAGAAATCAGTTACTACTACATATAGATAACTAAATTAATGTGAATACACAAATCAAAACAACAATTCTTGTTTATTATAAATAAATTTTATGATAAATAAATCCAAACAGTCACTTTTATATATTTTATATGGTATGTAATTAATTTTAAATGGTATTAACATACATATATATTATATTTTAATATGATTATTCATTAAATAAAATTTTCTACTCATATGGTTTGATGATCATTCGTATTTTTATGATAAAATTTAAAATCACTAAAAACAAATTCATTAATGTGCGACGTTTATTAGTTTTACTAATTTAGGATCATTTTTAAGAAACTCAATGTAATGTTCAAAATTTTAAATAGTAAGTTCTAAATATTTGTTCAAAGAAAATTTCAAAATTATAATATTTATGTATTTTATGTGGTATATATAAACAATATTAAAATAGATATATTTTTCATCTCAATAGTTATTAAATGAGACTTCTTACTCACATGGTTTTATAATAATTTTTATTTTGTTATAATGAACTTCAAACCACTGATCACAAATTTGTTAGTGTGGTTTAAAAAATTTAGTAATTTATTGTCGTTTTTAATAATTAAAAATATAACATATACAAAAAATATAAAATTTTATTTTATTATTAATGTGATCTTTTAATTTATTTTAGTAATATAAAATTAACAAAAATGATAAAGGATACATAATAGCTTTATCAAAATTTTATTAGTGAAAACCGTTAATTTTGATATATACTTTAGTCATATTAGGTAACTCCGTAGTTTTTATTTAAGGAAATAATGAAAACATTAATAGCTAATATTATGGTTAATTTGATGAAAACTTTAGTATATAGTTAGATGGACCAACAGGATTCTAAGAATTGATTACACGTGACTATCTCAAATGTTGTAATGTTTTTCTTTTAATATAGGGTATTACTAAATGAAATGAAAGTTTATAAAGTCCATGTATGATGCATATACCAAAAAATGTCAACCAAAAAAGTACAATGTTGAAAATCTATAGATTGAAATCGTGTAATATAAGATCTATAACACAATATAAATGTATGAAATATAGTATGGTTTATAAATACATGTAAATTTAGTGAGACATGAAAACATATTTCATATATGAAGATAGATCATGAAATGAAGGTTTATAACACAATATAAATGAAATGAAGGTTTATATAGTCCATGTATAATGCATATACCAAAAAATGTCAACCAAAAAATGTCAACCAAAAAAGTATAGTGTTGGAAATATATAGATTGAAATCATGTAATATAAGGTCTATAACACAATATAATTATATGAAATATAGTATGATATATAAATACAGGTAAATTTAGTGAGACATAAAAACATATTTCATATATGAATATAAATCATGAAATGAAGGCATATAACACAATATAAATGAAATGAAGGTTTATAAAGTCCATGTATTATGCATATACCAAAAAATGTTAACCAAAAAAGTATAATGTTGGAAACATATAGATTGAAATCGTGTAATATAAGGTGTATAACACAATATAAATGTATGAAATATAGTTTGAAATATAGTTATAAAATCCATATATGATTTATATACCAGAAAAGATAACCATAAAAGTATAATGCTGAAAATCTATAGATTGAAATCATGTAATATAAGGTGTATAATACAGTATAAATGTATGAAATATAGTATGTAATGTGGTTATAAAGTCCATATATGATGCATATACCAAATCGTGTAATATAATGTTGGAAATTAATAAATCTATGAAATATGGTTAGAGTAATTAATGGGAAAAGAGAATAATTAATGGTTAGGGTAATTAATGGGAAAAGAGAATAATTAATGGTTAGAGTAATTAATGGAAAAGGGGAGAATAATTCGAGTATATGCAATATGTGATATTATTTGTAACAAATCGATATATATATATATATAGATGTAAGGCCGAAAATAAATTACCAAAATATCATTAATGAGGGTGCACACAACTTTCATCAGTCGATTTTTGAAGGATGCCTTTACTTTTAATTGTATAGATTAATGATCATAAAACGAGTTTATAGATTATTTGCATGAGTTTAATATCTTCATAGTATATAATTTATTATAAAATTAATGGTAGCTAATTTTTAAAATTATAGAAACTGTAATAATGTTTGATTAATTTTTTCTGTATTTATATACGACATAAAATGAGAAAACAATTTATAGCAATAGATATAATGATTTCATATTCATATAAAAATATAGTTGTATCTATAATAATAGTTAATCCCTTATAATGTATGCTTTATAAATAATTAGACTTTGAAGTTTGGACATATTATATTTAATGATACATGTGAGAACTTAGAATAAAAAAAAATGTTTTGCATTTAAGTTAAATAATATAGTGAAAAAGGTAATGTTATGATTGATAATTCTAAGATAGGTTTTTGGTTCATTGTTTGCATGTTCTGTATTATTGTTTAGAGATAAATAAATATTTGGAAAAAAATAAGTAAAAATTTAGGAAAACATGAGCAAAAATTAATAAAAAAGAAAAAAAATGATAAAGACAAAAATAAGAAGAATCTGAAGAAGATATAAAATATGTGTTGTAGAAGTTAATGTGATTATTACATATATACTTCCACAAGTATTTGTTATTACTAAATATTCATCAATTTGTTTTGATCAATTTCATCAATTATTTTTACATAAAATTATGGAAGTTATACGACTGATTGTCAAACTATTTGAGATTAAAACTTAGATTTTAAAAATTTCTAATTATTATTCAAAATTTATGGTATTATATAAATCATTTATATAATAAAGAACAAGTCACTCTACCAATCACAAAGCAATGAACTACTTAAGGTAGTTAAGATAGTTATGTTTACGTAACACAAATCAATGAACTAGATAATATAAGTAGATACTAAGACAAATTGGTATTTTGGTGTATCATCATCTCCTATATTTTTTTGCCTAATTCTCTGGATCTCACTCTTTTCTCTACATTTTCCAAGACAGCATTTGTATATCAAGTTTCGTTCAAATGCAAGGTTTTCCTTAGAAGAACTCAAGTTTGTATTTCCTTTTTTCCATAAGTTCTACGGTTAAGTGAAATAAATTTCATATAACCAAAAATAACTTCACGATCAATAATTTCCTGAAAATAGAGGTAAATCTCTTGATTTTCTTAGATTCCTAATTTCATGGCACAATTTCAAACGGTTTATTGTTATATTTAACAATAATTACGCTCTTTTTTCTCTTATTTTTAATGGTTACACATTTTCTGAGTTTTGAGAGCAGCAGCAAGTATAAATATAGCTTTTTGACTAATTTTAATTCAAATTCAGTTTTCTCTTCTTCTCAAACTAATATATCTTGTTCTTTTTGTATTATCCAGCTTGAAGTTGTTTTATTATTACTCAAATTGTAATAAAAATGGCACAACTAGACTTACCATGACGCCGAGGGGTGCGACAAACACACATAGCGACGAGACCATGCATATGTAACCCAGTACTTGACCACGTTTCTTGTGATGGAGAGGAAAGTAAGTCAGGACGAAAATCAGTCCAAATCCCAAAACATCCCCAAACATGACGAGTATCACTGTCCTCTTCTACGACACCTTTTTGGAACCAAGAAGAGGTTCAGGTAAGCAGCATTTGTTATGGTAGTAAAACTACTAATAGTAACCCCTAGCAAAGATCTCCTTTTGTGAGCGCGTAGAACAACCCTAGGAGTGCACTTAGCAAGGTTGCGGCGTACAGAAGAGATTGGAAGCCATCCGTCGACTTCCTCTTGTAGATTGTTTTTTGGTCTACAAATACAACTACACACATATGTTAAGTGTATGACTTCAAAACGTGTTGAAGTTATCTCTCTCTTAGCTTAACTAATGGTGTTTATAATCCTTTTATTTTTATTAGTTTATTAGCCTACAAAATTAAGATCCGTGCCAGACACGGAATTACATTGTATATATAGATTATTTTTTCTGTATCATTACTTATTTTCATTTTTACATATTATGAAATAATAAAATAATAATATATATCGAATAATTGAGAAATCAGTTACTACTACATATAGATAACTAAATTAATGTGAATACACAAATCAAAACAACAATTCTTGTTTATTATAAATAAATTTTATGATAAATAAATCCAAACAGTCACTTTTATATATTTTATATGGTATGTAATTAATTTTAAATGGTATTAACATACATATATATTATATTTTAATATGATTATTCATTAAATAAAATTTTCTACTCATATGGTTTGATGATCATTCGTATTTTTATGATAAAATTTAAAATCACTAAAAACAAATTCATTAATGTGCGACGTTTATTAGTTTTACTAATTTAGGATCATTTTTAAGAAACTCAATGTAATGTTCAAAATTTTAAATAGTAAGTTCTAAATATTTGTTCAAAGAAAATTTCAAAATTATAATATTTATGTATTTTATGTGGTATATATAAACAATATTAAAATAGATATATTTTTCATCTCAATAGTTATTAAATGAGACTTCTTACTCACATGGTTTTATAATAATTTTTATTTTGTTATAATGAACTTCAAACCACTGATCACAAATTTGTTAGTGTGGTTTAAAAAATTTAGTAATTTATTGTCGTTTTTAATAATTAAAAATATAACATATACAAAAAATATAAAATTTTATTTTATTATTAATGTGATCTTTTAATTTATTTTAGTAATATAAAATTAACAAAAATGATAAAGGATACATAATAGCTTATCAAAATTTTATTAGTGAAAACCGTTAATTTTGATATATACTTTAGTCATATTAGGTAATTCCGTAGTTTTTATTTAAGGAAATAATGAAAACATTAATAGCTAATATTATGGTTAATTTGATGAAAACTTTAGTATATAGTTAGATGGACCAACAAGATTCTAAGAATTGATTACACGTGACTATCTCAAATGTTGTAATGTTTTTCTTTGAATATAGGGTATTACTACTGGGATTTTAGTGAAAATGAGATGTAGGACGAAAAATGATAAAACATGTGTTAATCAGAGAGGAAGAGAGTTACTTTTTGTTTTTTTGTTGTTGTAGATATTTGTCTTCACTCGTCAAATACTTGTTACTTCAGTTAAATACCGACCTTTTTCGCTTTGTCGGATATACTTTTGGCATGGCAAGTTTTTGTAGTGTTTCAATTAAATCCAGAGTTGATATTCAAGGTTTATCTGTGTTTCTGGGTTTTGAATTGATTTAATAAGTGCTCCGACAGTAAACGGAGCTTCTGTCTTTGAGTCTCTTTCGGAGTTTCATATGATTTCGACTAGCTTGAGCTGGACTATCTTCTTCGGAGGATATGCCTCGATTCTTTTCCTTGGAAATCAGATTTTACCTCTTCTCTGTTTTGCTGGTAAGTCGGCATATAGGTAAAGCTATTCCTGATGGGAAGGATGATGATTGTTGGAATTGTGAAGGCCCATATCCAACTCTTTAATATCCGATTAGTACAATATTGTACACTTTGGACCTAAGAGATAACCCCGTATGAATTTATTTTATGGTTTTTGTTTCAAAAGGTCTCGTACTAGTTAGAATTAGACATCTCTTTATATATTAGACATTTTTTTGTCTAATTCTCCAATGTGAGACGCTGTTTGATATCTCACATTCTCCCCCTCAAACTAAGGATCACATTCATCTCATGTCCCACAACTGACTTCCAGGATCTTTTGACTTGATCTCTGCCACACACACCTCACATTCCTAATTCGATGGGCTGGTACCATTCATATTCGAAGGATATTTTGATCTTCTTGTATATTTCTCGTCAAACCACTATGATATCAATTGTTGGGATTGTGAGAGTTCATGTGCAACACTTAATTATCTGATTAGTACGACATTGTTTACTTTGGGCTTAAGAGACAAGTCCGCATATATATATTTTTTGATTTTCTTCTCAAAATGTCTTGTACTAAGTAGAGTTGGACATCTCTTTATATATTAGATATTGTTTGTCTAATTTTCCAATGTGTGATGTTGTTTGATATCTTACAATGGTAACGGATTAAGCATGATTGATTCATAAGGGATTCAGTAGAGTTGGCGCTCATGAGAGCGATCCAACAAATATTCTTCTTATGTATCAATTCGTGTAATCTCAGAATAATAATCTGAAGATGTGAGGTGATCCAACTACAGCATCGGTGAACAACGAAATAAGATTCCAGTGAAGCTTCAGGATCCGGTGGTGGCGACGGTTCAGTTGAAGAGCCACTGGTGTCATGTCACTCTCCCCAATCCTCATGAAGCTACGTGGTCTTACGCGTGACATAAGACCATCTCCAATGGTGTTTCTTTTTCACTTTTTGTTTCATTTTGAACAATTTTTGCTTCCTTGGTGTTTCATTTCTTGATTCAAAATGAAGTAATGAATGAACTTTCTAAATTATGAATTAGTCTTTAACTTTAACTTATTCTTATATTTTCTCGAAATAAATTAAATATGTTAATATTATCTAATTTTTTTTATAATTTTGACTAATTTTCATCTAATAAGATATTTATATTGGAAAATATAAGAATATTAATTTTTAAGAATTTAACTCGTTTAGAAATAATGGAAGATAAATAAACTCACATTTTACTTTTAAATTTTTTTTATTAATCATTTAAATAAAAAATATATATAAGATATCTTTTAAAAACATATATGGTGTTCTGTGTTTGTTTATTCATATTATGTAAGAAATTCCTTTTATGATAATGTTGAATGTATATTAAATAACAATTGTGCTAAACTATTGTTAAAACAAAATATTTGAGTAAATTAATAAATATCAAAAAGTAGAAGATGTTATTAATAATTAATGATAAAGTGGGCAAAGAATATATTCAGAATATTTTTTTATAAGAAAGAAATGAAGTAAACTATTGGAGAATACATGCTTATTTTTTGCTTTATTTTGAATAAAATGCATTTTTAAGCAAGAAATGAAGCCAACCATCGGAGATGTGTTAAAGAGTATAAGGCGATACTGGTGGCAAGATTAACCGATCAGCTTAGTGGGTCGCGTTTGGGCTTATAATTTGTTGGGTGGGATAATTTGTTAAGTTTCACTTTGTAATTATCCAATGGCCTTTCCATTAAAGGAAGAAGTCGACAAAAAAAATACTCGTTCTTTGAGATAGGACCATCTGAACATTCAATTTAATCACAGGCCCGGAGTAGTATCAGTACCTTTAAGAGCCCAAAAATAAGTAGGTTAAAGCCCATTGCTTAAACCCTAGAGTCTTCCTCTGTATAAAACATTACTCATTTCTTGTCATCGTGTGCTGTTTATACACCTTAGTTTCACATTCCTGCTTTCTGAAACAAACATAACGGCAATCCTTAGATGTTTCAGATCTTTATAGCATGTTTATTTCACTAGTTATTGCTCGTTCTCCTGGTTTGATTTTGATATTGAAGAAACTATGTGATATGTTCTCACTTATGGTTGCAGTGATGATAACTTCATGATTACATTGAAAGTGTCTTAACAACGCTTTATGAACGGTCGACACAAATGTCGAACCTGAGCGGTTAGCTGAGCAACGATCGTTATTGTTTTCTTCCTCCTCAATGAATCTATCTAATTTTATACTTGCTAATTCTTGTTGCAAACTCGGCAAAGTCCTCTGCATTGTCATGCTAAAATTGACATGACAATAAGGCAAGTTCAAACCGTAACAGTCACGATAGCAAACCATAAAGCCTATATTGATGACGCTAAAGCTCACAGTCGTTAAGCCCATGACAACTACCTAAGTTTTGATGTTGGAGTTTGGTTGGTCATGGGTGTCTCTGTGTCTGGTTTAATGTCTGCACGGTTTAGTTATTGTGCTGTTTTCACTTATTGTACAAAGCCTATATATATGGTTGTATGTTCGATTCCAATAGTATTGTGTACTTCTAAACCATTTTCGGTTACTATTTCATTTTATTTTTAAATTATGAAATAATAAACAAGAAGAGGAAAAAGTAAAGATGATGGCAGTTGTGAGTGAATATGTTTTGTCCGTAAGAAGCGAACAATCCATATCAACGCAACAAACGTTGATGGAATCAGATTCCGATGACATAAAAGTGAGTCAGTTTGAGTCGAAAACGTGTGGGAACTGCATTCTCGTAGACGCGGTTTAAATTGAGACTATTGAATATATATTCCATGTCTTAACGTATGTGTAAAACTCAAGCATCTTAAAACACGTGGAAGATTGCACCGATTCTTGACTGTCTTTTAATACACTTTTAAGGTGACGTTGTAATTTGTAATGTTCACGTTTTGAAAGATTTCATTGTCTAAAACTTGATCAAATATCAATTAGTGATCTAAGAATAAGATTATTTGATCGCATCTAAGGTCCTAAAGTCATTGCAGAATAATTATTGGATAGATCAGTGAGGTTGTCATTTGTATAATTATTTCAACTAGTAAGCAACACTAGATTTTTGAAAATTGTACATGTATAAACTTCATCTCTCGATTTTTTTTTTTCAAATTAAATATTCTTTATATACAGGGCTAGTTAATGTTTTTAATGAAAATATAGAACATGTATATGGCACAGTGG